CTTATTTTGAGAAGTGTCCTGTTCATATCCTTTCGCCATTTTTTGGAGGGGTTGTTGCTTTTTTGTCTGTGTAAACTTTTGGTTGAGGTTCTTTGTAGATTTGGATATTAGGCCCTTTGTCAGATGGATAAGATTGCAAAATTACTCTTCCGATTTCTGTAGGTTTCCTGTTCGGTTTTATGATAGGGTTTCTTTTTGCTGTGCGGAAGCCCTTTAGTCTAATTAGACCCCATTTGTCAATCTTTGCTTTTGTTGCCATTGATTTTGCTTGTTATTAGGACATGAAGTTTTGCCATCCCTATGTTCTGAATGGTATTGGCCCAGATTATTCTTCTAGATTTTTATGGTCCTAGGGCTTACGTTTAAGCTCTTTGATCCATCTTGAAGTTGATTTTTGTATAAGGTGGAAGTAGAAGGGGTCCAGTTTCTGTTTTCTAGAATATGGCTAGACCGGTTCTCCCAACACTATTTATGTATACTATTTAATTTATATAGGAATCTTTTCCCCATTGCTTGTGGTGTGTTGTGTTGTCTCAGAAGTGTGTGTTGTTGTGTGTGTTCTTCTGAGGGCCTCCGCACTCTGTTGCCATTGGTTCTATATATTTGCTTTGGTACCAGTTTACCATGGCTGTTTTTGGTTTACTGTGCCTTGTAGTACAAACTTTTAAGTCAAGGTAGCACGATGTCTCAGCTTTGTTCTTCTTGCCCAGCGATTTGTTTGCAATGCGGGCTCTTTTTGGTTCCTATGATTTAAACGTAGTTGTTTCCAATTCTGTGAAGAAAGTCAGTGGTAGCGTTGGATCAGGGATAGCATTGAATCTGATAAATTACTTTGGGGCAGGTAAGGTCCATTTTTCACGATGATTGATTCTTCGTATCCATGAGCAAGGAATGTTTTTCCCATTCTGTTTGTTGTGTGTCCGCTCTATTTCCTTGAGCAGTGGTTTTGTGTGAGTTCTCGTTGAAGAGGTCATTCAGCATCCCTGTGTAAGTTGTATTCGCTAGTATTGTTATTCTTTAGTAGCAATTGTGAATTGGGAACGTTTCACCTCAATGATTTGGCTTTCTGTGTATTATTGGTGTATAGGGAATTTCGTGATTTTTGCACATTTGATGGGTTTGTATCCTGAGACTGTGCTGAAGTTGCTTATCAGCTTAAGGAGATTTTGGCTGAGATGATGGGATTTCCTACAATACAAATCATGTCATCTGCAAGCAGATGCTTGACTTCCTCTTTCTTCCTATGTGAATCGCTTATTGCCTTTTCTTGCCTGTCCATCAGTGATAGACTGGATTAAGAAAATTTGGCACATATACCCCATGAACTACTATGCAGCCATAAAAAAGGATGAGTTCATGTCCTTTGCAGGGACATGGATGAGGCTGGAAACCATTGTTCTCAGCAAACTATCACAAGATCAGAAAACTAAACACTGCATGTTCTCACTCATGAGTGGGAGTTGAACAATGAGAACACGTGAACACAGGGAGGGTCTGTGGAGGTGGAGGTGGAGGTTAAGGGGCCAGGTAGCATTAGGAGAAATACCTAATGTAGGTGATGGGTTGACGGGTGTAGCAAACCACCATGGCAGATGTATACCTGTGTAACAAAACTGCATGTTCTGCACATGTAACCCAGAATTTAAAGTATACTAAAAAAAATTATTGAGGATGATAAAGGTCGTTTGCATGATTATATCTATTTATATTTATGGCATGGATTAGTGCTGTTCAATAGAAGTTTCTGTGAGAATACAAGTATTCTGTGTCTGCACTGTCCAATATGATAGCCACTAGCCACATGTGGCTATTGAACAATTGAAATGTGGCTGATGTGGCTGAGGAAATAACATTTTTCATTTTGTTTCATATTAATTAATTTACATGTGAATAACCAGATATGATAGGTAGAGCTATAAAACCAAAGGCATGTTTGGTTTTTTTTTTTGAGATGGAGTCTGGTTCTTGTTGCCCAGGCTGGAGTGCAGTGGCGTGATCTCAGCCCACTGCACCCTCTGCCTCCAGCATTCAAGTGATGTTCCTGCCTCAGCTTCCCAAGTAGCTGAGATTACTGGCTCCTGCCACCACACCCAACTGTGTGTGAGTGTGTGTGTGTGTGTGTGTGTGTGTGTGTGTGTTTAGTAGAGATGGGGTTTCACTATGTTGGGCAGGCTGGTCTCAAACTCCTGACCTCAGATGATCCACCCGCTTCCCAAAGTGCTAGGATTACAGGCGTGAGCCACTGTGCCTGGCCCCAAAACACATTTTTAAAATGCGTTTTTGTTGTGGTCAAATACAAAACCAAATCATTTGTAAAACACTACTATATGCACACACATTCCCTAAGCAATCAGAGTCCTGACATCACCACACACCCCAGGGACACTCCACTGGACACTTGTGAAAAAGTCAACAACCTTTTAGTATGAAAATAGTTTTGACCTCAGGGTCCCTCTGAAAGGACCCTTAAGGAACTAGGGACCACACTTTGAGTCCAGGACTAACAAGGGGAGCTCAGCTCCCATATGCTCAGGAAGGACAACTGGTCACCCTATTCTGGCACTGCTGCCTCCCACTTTGAGGGGCTTTCCCCTTTCCCTGCCCCACCTCTGCCCCCGCCCTGGTAGTTCGTAGTCCTGTTAACAAACCCAAGGCCTTTGATGTGCTGGATCCTGCGAGAGGCCGAAGACCCACTCTCCAAAGCAGCGGACCTGAGGGAAGGAGGGCAGTCACAGGGGCTCGGCTTGCTGGGGAGAAATTTCTCTCTGAGGTTCCAAGCCTCCAAGGCAGGCAGATCAAACCAAAAAGTAGAAAGAAACGTGCAAAGTGAAATTCAAGATGCTGGAAAAGATGGAAAGGCCTCTTCTCCCTGGAGTCTCCGGCTTCTCCCCTCCTTCCGGCAGGCAGGAAAGAGGAGGCCTTCGGAGCCGGAGAAGAGAAGGCTTCGCAGGGTCTTCTGGGGCAACTCAATCAAAGAAATTATTTTCCCACAGACGAAGCCAAGAATATCTTAATGGCTTTTTCCTGATTGAGAGATAAATCTTCTATTAATTTATGGCTCAGACCCAAAGCAGTTGTGTCAACTCCACTCGCCCTCTAAAACAATGTGAGAAATGCTTCAAAATTCCACTTATTTTGATGATTTCCCTCTTCCCGTTCCTATTTCTTCTTTTTTCACTCTGCTTTCATAGTCCATCCTGATCCTTTTCATCCTACCTCTTCTCTTATTTTCAAATCAATCGCCAACTCCTCAATGCCACATCCCTACCCCAGGTAAAAGTCTCTGGACATTCCCAATTAGAGGAGGTAAAACCTTCTGAAGTGAGACTCCCCCGCACCCCCATGCAGGGTAAAGACCACGAGAAGAGCTGCATGGCGTCGCAGAGAAGCTGCACCCACTCTAGCGCCTCACCGCCTACCCTGGCAGCCCTGTGCACCCCGCAGCGTGCGTCTCAACCAAGCCTTGGTTGCTGCAGAGCGTCTGGGTGCAGAGACCCGGCCGCCACAGTAAATCAAAAGACAGCAGACGGCGAGAAGTCGGTGTCACAGCGACTCACAGTCACTACTGCCCAGCGCAAATATCACGCCCTGGGGGGTCACTACTAAATGGCCCGTGTTTGTGGACTCGGCCACGTTGCTCGACTGACCCCTACGGCCAGCTACTCCCGGCGCCGGCGCCGGAGCAGGGGCGCACTCCCCCTCGGGAGAAGATCTGCGAGTGGGTAAATTGACCCGAGGTTCTTTGCGAATTCTGCCCGCTCTCGCCTGAGGGACTCTTGATGCTCGAGACAGTGTACTACAGATGATTTAGGTAATCTAGGCTGTGCAGACAAGATGCGAGTTATTCCCAAATCCACTTGCTAACTGCATGTCCTTAGGCAAGTTAATTTAACTCTCTTACCACAGTTTACTTATCTGTAAAATTGGGATAATGTAAGTAATGACCTAACTGGGATTTGGTAAAAGGCAAATGAGCTAATACAAATAAAGGTTTTAAAAACATGGGCACAACGGTTACTAAGTATAGATAGAAAAGTCGTGATCGGTGTTAAAAATTAAGCTGTTATACAGTTATAGTCCATGACACCTGTTCTGGTGACAACGTGAGTAAAGGGACCTACGTAGCGCTGACCGCCCAGCTTAACTCACAGCTCCTTTGTGTGGGTGTAGCCCAGCCAGGGAAAACAGTGTGGACCTGCTTCGTGCTAACACCACGGGAATGAAGTGCGAGCAGCTAGACCTCTGGTCTCCACCCGAAATGGGCCTCCTGCCTCCGGACTGACTCGCGGGCCATCTTCCCGCTTCCTCTGGCACCGAAGGCCCACAGGGTCCAGCTTTTTAATGGGCCCTTTATCTGCTACAGACCGCCTCAGCGAACCGGAATCAAATCTGGGCGCTTGCGAGGATGAAGGCCAAAGTCTAGATCCCGAAGTAAGCCCAGTAGGAAGCGGCAAGGTCCAGACACCCGAGGCCGGGTGACCTGTCTGTACTCCGAGCCACGCGGCGCGTCGCTGGGCTGAAATCCCACCTTGCATCCACCGCGCGGAATTCCAAATAGCCAGTATAAACAATCCCCTCACCCCACCACACCCGGGAAGGTGGCGGGACCCAGGCTTCGGTGCAAGTTTCCAGAATTGTCCCTCAGGGTCCCGGCGGCAAGGCCTGCACCCACCTCTCGCCCGGACTTTCGTTTACAGCCGCTCCCTCCAAAGGAAGGTTTATGACCACAGCGCGGCAGAACTGAGTCGGGTGGGCACCATACATGGCCGTGGCGCCTGAGGCCCCAGCTCGCGGCCTCGGGAGCGCTCGCAGGGCCCCATCCCTCTGGTGCGCTGGGCTCTGGAGCTACAAAGTGTACACAGACCATAAATTTCCCGCCCTGCTCGGCGCAGTTCCCCGAGGTCAGGGGCCGCCCTCCTCCAACCGCCTCAGCCCGCCTACCCCTTAACTTGCGTCCGGGTAACTGCGGCCGACAGCAAAACGCAGCTGGCGCCCGCTGCAGCGCCTAGCCGTACTGCAACGCCGCCTCCCCACTGCTAGAGCACCCTAGCCGCCTTGGGACTCCGGGCGCAGCCTGCGGGAGGCTCCCCACCGCTGCTTACGAGGCGGGAGTTGGGGAATGGAGCAAAGAGGGAAGAAGGCGAGGCCTGGGGGAGGCCAGGTGAGAATGGAAAGCGAAAGGGATGACTAGGAGCAAGGAGGAAGACGCTTCTGTGGCTTCTAGACCCATTTGTGTCTTTCTATACTGAGGTTTGGGGTGGGGGATACACAGTAAGTGCACGTGGCGACCGACGTTCGCTTAAAGATGTTTTTGCACTGGGCCCTCCCTTCCTTCGATTGTGAACCTTGCATACCGTACAGGGTATACTATACAGGGCATACCAAGAATGCGCTTTCCCTGGGGATGCAGCAAGATGACTTTTAAAAGATTTCCCTATGGTTGCGTCTACACTGACATTGTAAGGTGAATATTTGAAATAATGATCAGAATAATTCGTCAAAAAGAACAAATCATTTCTTTGAACTTTTTTTCTCTTTGACTATAGAGAATCGCCTCAGACCGGTAGCTCGGAGATTGGAGTAAGAAAGGCAGATTTCTGTCAGAGGTTCGGCCACGCCCCTTACCCGCCAAGTACCTTGATCAAATTACCCAACCCCTCTGCTTCTCAAAATGGCCATCTGTAAGAGAAGAAGAATAATATCTTCTGCCCTGTATTGCTGTGATGGTTACAAAAGATACAAGACTTTCACCTCCTGTTCAAAGAGTGGAAAAGACTTGCGTCTCTTTCCTCCGTTCTTTACTTGCACGCACCCATAGGTGATTTCAAACGAGTATAGACGCTCTCTCCAGCCAGAATGAACTCGCAGGTGTCATCGTAGTAATAGTTTAATAACAATTTCCACTTACTGAGTGCTTTCTGTTTGCCAGAACTCTGTAACTGTGCCCCGTATCAGATACGTGCCCCTAACCTAAAAACCTAAAAATCTGGGTTGCTGAGCAAACTAACAAGAAGAAAGTGGGAAGGCATAACTAGAGAGCTGGCGAGGACACAGGGAAGTGGGATGGTCTCCTCCTCACCATTCCTCCGCGATGAGGAAAGCAAAAGAGAAGTAAGAGGAAAGAGATGGGAAAGAAAGTTTCCGGTGGCTAAAACTTTTAGCTTGGAGGACATGTGTCAGAGCACCTTCAGATCGATTCAGCTGGAGATGCTTGTCGGTCGCTAACCCAGAACCGGTCCAGCATGTAGTAGGGGCTCAAATGATGTGTACATATGTAGCTGAGTAATGTAGAGGCTGTGAGTGGCCCTTCCCTCCCCAGTCCCCAGCATGTCTCCCTTGGCTCTGAGCAATGCTTTTGAGGAGGATGGCACTTTTGTGGGCTTAAAAAAAAAAGATTATGCAGATCTATTCTAATTTTTTAAAAATATCTGCCTTTCGTTACATTCTGGCTAATAGGCTGTCCCCCATCACCTCTGGAGCTGCCTGGCAGCTCTGTCATCCCTTGTCTCAGGTCACACACTCTGTCCTCCATGTCTTCCAGGGTGGTCATCTGGAACCAAACCAGGGGAGTCCAGTTACTCTTAAAATTCTGAACGGAATCTTGAAAGGTACCAGGAGGAAAGGAAAGCCAGGGCACAACGAGCAGAGAGGAAAAAATGAAAAGTGAGAAATGGTGAGGACATACAAAGCAAGGGAGCGTCAAGAACAATGGATATGGGAAAATTCAAATTACAGGTGACATTCCATTTAAAATTGTGTGTCACAGAGCAAGTCTTTAGTTTGACTCTTTCTTTATAGCTTTTCACCCCCATTTTTTTTTTCAGCTACAAAACTGTGCTCTTGGCCTGGAAGGGTGGTCAGCACAGGCTGCAGGGACCCTGAGAGAGGCAAGAAAAAGGAGACCTGGCTTAGATTACTGCAGCTGACCCAAAGTGTCCTCAAAGAGACATATCCTGGGCGCTCCCGACCGGCAACCGACTGACGTAGAGATCCGCTTGGGGGAGGTTGGGGCCAAGGGGCCCGGGCTGACCGTGGACTGAATGAATATTCGGCGGGCAGGTTGGGGATCCGAGACCGCGCAAGACCCAGGACCTTCCTCTGCTACACCCAAAGCCGTTGCGAACGGGGCGAGACCCTGTGACCCCCGAAGATAGGAGGCTTTGGAGCGAGATATGCGCCCCCGACCAGGAGAGCCAGGCTGCGTCGAGTCTCAGGGACACGTCTTTGGAGGGCGTGCGCGGCCCGCGATTCGCCACGCAGTGAAATTCAAAAATGGCCGGATTGCGCTGAAGGATGCAAGTCGGAACTGCCAGATGGAGGATCGTATTAGCTCAGTAGTTCTTTCTTTTGATCTTTCGTTCACTTGCTCATTTCTTGAGCTTCTACCACGTGTTGGATGCACTCGTCACCCGGATTTTGAGAAACAAAAATGAACAGCCCTGACAAATTAAAACGAGGCTAAAATTTGCAGACTGGGAAATCTCTGGTCGAGGAGAGTGGGGATTGAGGGTGGCTAGGGAACTCCGCGAAACAGGCACTTTTTCTCCGCAAAGAGAGGCGGCGAGGTGCAGACGCACTAAGACCAACTCGCCTAGCATTCTCACTCGCTCTGCGGTGCTCTTCCGTGTTCCAAGAGAGACTCGGGTAGATCTTAGCGCCCCGCATCGCCGCCTAAGTGAGGGACTGGAGAAAGCACAGAAAGCTTTGGACTTCTGTCCTGGTTCTTGACGTAGACCACTAGGGAAGTGACCTTCAGTGAGTCATTCAACCTCTCTACGAGTTCGTTTCCACCTACAACAATGCCCAAATGGTACGCAGTCCAGAGTTTTGGCCGCCTGTATCGAGTCCTGCTTGTGAACGCATTCTCTTGTCCCTCTGTGATGACCTTAGTATCGGGGATCCTAATGCGTCCTCAACCAGATGATTCACAGCTCCAGGTCCACTCCAGGGGTTACCAACTGGTACTTCCGGGTCGTGTTGCACAGCCTCCTACTTTGTTTATAATGCTACCTACGCTTATTGATGCTATAAATAACCACAAGGGCCACAATAATTATGCTTGTCGTTTACTTAGTAAACAATTTTGGGGGTGCATTTCCTGCGCCAAGCACTGAGCTAGGTGCTAGAGTTTCTCCAACCATGCAGCAGAGTCCAACCCTGCTCTCAAGAAGCCGAGGGTGCCTTTTTCCTCAAAGAAATCGTTGATCTCCTGTTTCCATTTCGAGGGCCCTCCCTCATTGTGATTAGTTAAAAACTTAATAAAACTCCCGAAGTGCTATTTGTTCCAACATAATCTCAACAGCTGGAACATAATTTTCCCTTCTGGGCCCCTAGACACTTGTTTAAGCTTCAGAAAACTAAGTATCAGAAAACTAACTTCTTCCTTTCTAACTCCCACGAGTAAGTCCCCACCACACCCACAAGCATTGTATCCAGTGCCTGCTGTGAAATTTGCAGACTGAGATGCTCCTGCGCACAGTGCCAGGAGCATCAAGAGGAAAAAGTACTCATGGGCTTCTAAAAGAAGCAACGCCTGACCTAGTCAGGCAGCTCATCCTAACTCTCTGGGCTACTCCTTAAAGGATTTCCTGGTGACAAGGCATCCTCATTCTCATCTAATGATTTAATTACTTGGAGAGTAAAGGTTGTCTTGCATTCTTTTTTTCTCTACTGTGCAAACATTCACAAGGATCCCAATAAATACTGCAATGAAAAAAACGAATGGATGAAGGAATGCAGTAACATCTAAGGCTATAGCAGTAATTATATATCAGCCATTGTTCTCATTTCGCCTTTTTTTTTTAACTGTCATGAAGTCTTGCAGCGATTTATGAGTTATGTACCTTTGATTATATCCCATTATACAGAGAAAACAAACCAAAGATTAGATGAATTTTTCAAGGTCATGTAGCTAGTTATTGGTGGTGAGTGAATGAATGAATGAATGAATGCCTCTGGGGTTAGTTCGGACCTCCTATGCTGGGCTGGGATCAGGCCCGCTTTTTCCTGCACACTCCACCTGACCATCTCCTCGAATAACCCCCGCAACCAAGAGAGTCGTTGAGGGTCTCCAGAGAGGCAAGTTTGGGGCACACATCAGGCAATGCTGCCACTGCCACCTCCAAGGTCTCTTTCTGGTTCCTCATCTGCTGCACAGGGTGGACTGTGCTAGAGAGTGAGGCTTACTATCTGCCATGGCTCTAGCTGAGTCTGAGGCTAGAAGAAGAGAGAAGGATCCAGTGCAGGGGCTGCCACGCAGCCATGATTGGGCCTCGATCTCCACATCCTGCCCAGAATTCTAAGTGTCAGCAATGATCAGTGGAAGTCAAAAAGCACCAGGGATGTCTCTTCCTTTTGCGAGCACAGTGTGACTGGGATTCTACACACTGTTAGCAAAGCTAATTCTGCTATTAGGCCAGTGCAGAGTGGAAGGCAGGGTATCAACCCAAAGGAGTCCTAGACCTGCAACTACCAGAGGGACACCCCTCAGGAACCACCAAGGGGAAGAGAAGGAGCTAATGGAAGCCCAACATCACAGGCAGTGGTTGAACCTCATGATCTTTTTAAAAACCCATTGTTTTCGGGCATCCTAGTCAGAATCTGGTTGCTCAGGTGTGTCTGGCGCCAGCTTTCATGTTCCTGTGTACTGTAGGAGGCCCTGACCCGAGGCCCATCCTGGTCCTGGCACTCACTCTCCAGGGCACCTTGGGCAAGTATTCTTAAATCTCTCAGCCTCTGTTACTTCACCCCAAAAGCGAGGGAGTCGGGAACAACCACACCTGTGGGGACTTCTATTCCTGATTTCTAAAATGACAGGGGGCAGGGACAGGGACGGGATTAAAGGGCCAAAGGTTCTCTGACCTCACCTGTCCGCAGGGCCCAGGGATCCTGGCAGAGGCTGCTGCTCTGTTAGAACCTGAGTTGAAGGGATCTTAGAAAGTGCTCCCCGCCCTGTGTAAGCAGTCTGGATTCCCCAAGAGCGGCTGCCGCAGGGGGTAGGCACTGTGGGTTGTAATATCACAGTGTGTGAAGGGAAGCTTCAGAGAAAGACAACTAGTTTGTCTTTGGGATGCCAGCCAATCTCATCATGACCTCAAAAATGGAGGCTGTGAGCTCGATGAGTGCATGAGTTAAACCAAAATTTTGGATTTTAAAAAATCTTCCCTAGCCCAAACACCTGCAGTTAAAGTCCTCCTTAAAACTCGCATCTTCACAAACACTTTGGAGTGTACAATCAATCCTTTCCACCCCACAAGACTGAAGAAGCGGAATGTGATGTCCCAGCATGTTTAGGGTCCTCTTGGTCATCTTTAAAACAGTGTCACTACATCACGTGGGAGAGGGCTGAGCTTGCCTACTTTTTCTTCTTAAGGGAGGAAGAAGCTGGAGAGGGGACTAGGATGCCTAAAAACAATGGGAGAGTGCATCAACCTCAGTCTCTGGCTTGTCTTCCCCCATTTCTTGCTCCATCCAGCCCACTGAGAGTCTTAGGTAGGCATGCGCTTGAGGAGAGGTGGGTTCAGATCTGCGGAAACAGATTAAAGCTCGACAGGTTAAAGCTCAACAGATCAAGTCAAGTCAAGGTGCCCGCAGAAAATCCACTGCTGCAAGCCCTGGTTTCTACCACACCCCTCCCCCGATTCCAAAGCTTTCGTTGGCAATTGCCTTCCTAGACAGGAGAACCCAGGTTTCACTCTCCTGTTTCTTCAGCCTCTGACACCTTGAAAAGAAGCCTGGGCGCTCTTACTGCCCTGCCCTACTCTGGCCACGACCTAGTTCAAACCCTGCCAACGTCAAACTCCAGGAGATCCTGGGTAGAGAGGGCAGCCAGAAAAAAGATTCCAGAGTGACTGGGATTCCTTTACGATTGCCTCTGAGGTGCAAAGGATGTCAGAGGGATTTGTGGCAAGCAGTCTGAGCTCGCCTACAATCCACACGACTCTGCAGGGTCTTGTAGAGTAGAGGGAGAGAAGCGGGAAATCTCCTTGGCTGGTATAATGACCTGAGCCTCCCTTGCAAGCGGGACCGCGCCTGGACCTGCCCCGGGGGCTGACGACTTTGGCCTTGGTGGGCACAGGAAGGCGAGGGAGACACAATGCTCGCATGGAGGTCTCAGCCCACTGAAGCGGGCAAACGGGAGAGAAACGCGGCGCCAGCGTTCAGGGGTTTAGTCCGCGGAACTTGGCGCTAGGCAACTTCTCTGTGGAAACCAGCGCCCTACCCACCCACACAGGCTGAATAAGGCGGCAGAGGCTCCTCTCTGCTTTGCCATATGGAGGAGAACGGGGAAATTTATTCGCGTGGTTTTACCCACAAAGTGCTGAAATAGCCAGTAGGTTGCCTGTCTCTCCAGTGTCTATATGAGTCTGCAGGTCTGTGTGCGTCCACGTTGGAGGGGATGGGGGAAGGGTATTGAGTCCCCAGCCCCGCCCTGAAGGGAAACGCACCGTGGTCACCATCCCTCTGTGAACCTCTGTGCACCTTGGTAGCCTTTTTCGGAGGGCTCCGCGCCGCGGGGACTTCGGGAGTCTAGGCAAAGCTTTGCTCAGAGCAAAGAGCAATTGCTGGCTGGAGTCTCGGGTTGTGTGCAGGAGAGGCGGGGGCCGCGTCTCTGTTCTGTTCTGCTCTGGGGCCCGCGCGCTCTCTCTTTCTCCAAGCCTCAACTCTGGGCGATTCTGGCTCCCCGCACGGTCCGCGTTGGGCCTGCCTTCTCTTCCGGGTCTGAAAACTCTCGGTCTTGGCTGAAGAATTTCTAGCTGCCTGACCGCCCTTGCTAGCATTTTGGTCTGCCAAGAAGACCCCAGTACCCGGGGTCGAGCGAGCAGTCCCGGGATGGGCCTATACGGCCAAATTTTAGCCTTTCCTCCCGGCCACCTGTGGTTACCCTTCTTCCAAATGAACTGTAACTTCTCCGGTGCTTGTGATATTCCGTTTCTGATGAAACGTGGAAGAACTCCACGGTTAGGGTAAAGCCCCACAAAATGTCACGTGATAACTGTCCAGGAACTGGGGGTGGGGGTGGGGGTGGCGGAGGCAGGGGCGCCTCCTGCGAGCACTAGGGGGGCATTCGTCCTTCAGACTCCCGCCCTCAGGTGCTTGCCACCCCGCTCACTTCGTTTCCGGGACCCCCAACCCCGCCGTGCCCCCTGGCCTGACGAAAGTTGGCCTAAATAAGGCAGAATTCTAACAGAAATCATATCATGACATCCCCGGATGATGATTTTCTTCACTTTCAAAGCCCCGGGGCCCGGGTGAGGACTAATGGTCTGGGTGTGGCCTGGTGAGGAGCAGGGATAGGTGCGGTTTGTATAAAGCACACTCCCCACCATTCTTCCCTAGGCTCCGTTCCTCAGCTAAGTGTGTGTGTCGACCCGTTATTCTCCTTAACGCCAGAGCTGGATTGAAGTGCCTCAAAATTCGATGTGCTTGGGATATCCTGGTCCCAGAATTTCAATACTTGGGGTCAGGGGAAATGGATATCGGCAATGCAGGCAAAACTGAGGTACAGAGGGAATCCTGAAGTTTGGTAGCGGAGCCTGTGGAAGCTTTGAAGAAACTATCCCAGCCCTGGCCCGCAGCCAGGGCAGGTGGGGTGGCTGCCCTGGCCTGGAAACTCTTGTGGCACAATTAGGAATAACAGCTAGTTCATGTTACTATTGAAGATGGGGGTCCCTTGTGGTATGCTCTTTCTTTTCTCTTGACTAAATTGTACAACTCTGATCACTTTGCCCCCACTCCATTCTCACTGCTCTTGAATCATCTCGATTTGGGGATTTAGGAGGTTGGCTGGGTCAGTAAATGATCACCTTTGCATCCATGTGTTGGCTTTGGGACTTGCTATCTGTATCTTGTATCTGGCTATGCAAGTGACAGAAGCCTCAATCTGCTGCCTCTACTTCACCCCTGGATGGAAAAGTCTAGAACAGAGATCCTGGAATGAGCTCCAGGGGAATGCCTAAAAGTGGAGGAGATAACAAGACTGAGGACCATTGAGGACTTTCCCACTCTGGCCAGGGGACTGAGGTGTGTCCTAGGCTCTCTGATTTCAGCACCTCTCCTCAACTCATTCTGAGAATTGGCCACCCCACTTGGATGCTGGGTCTGCAAGAGACCTTGTGTCCTTCCCATGCTCAGTGCCAAAGAGATTGGCACTGAGACTGATCAGGATTTCCCAAGGAAATCTATTTGCTATAAAATCTCCCCAAACAGCTTTTAGCAACTGCAGACATTTCACAGCGGGAGCACAGGTCTTGGAGAGAGGTTTAACTCTTCAGCTTTAAAAGAAACAAACAAACAAAAAACCTTTGAATTGCCTGTCCTAGTAGCAGTGTCAAGGTTTACTATGTATTTTCCAGCTGCAGTGGGATGGGGAAACTGCCTCAAGACTCTCAGCAGCTTTGGGAAGAAAGAGCTCATCTAGGCGCCTCCAGTGGCCAAATTGCAACGGAAAATTTTTGTGTGGATGAGGGAATGGGGGATGCAATTTCATAGTTCCTTCCGTGGCCACATGTAGGCCAGGAAGTCCAAGCTCTGATGTGGGCTGTGCCTCTGCTTAACCTTGAAGAAGTGACCCCTTTGTTTGGCATCTTTACAACCAGGGCCCTGGCATTCTAAGATCCAAGCTTCCAGCCCGAACCACTGTGGAATGTCTGTCCCTTCCTCAGCAACATTACAAACCTGTCCTCTACCCCATCCCAGAGCAAGGGAAAGTTTGTGCAGGGCTCTGGACCCGTGCTTCACGTCCACCTACTGAGTACAGCTGTGCCTAGATTGACCCCGCCTGGCACTACTGCCTTCTCCATTCCAACTCTTTGTACTCTAGGAACTCATTTAGTCCATACTCTGGATAGGGAAACCATCTGTTGCACTGGTCTAACAGTTTCTAAGGCCTGCTCCACTCTCAGGCTACTCAGGGTCTCAGAGGGTGCTTTCACTGGCAGTTGGCACTGGAAATCTCTTAATTAGAAGCCTCTAAGCCCAGACGCCCATCTCTGATGTCTGTAGCAAGATGGCTCTGAGGCTCAGCCACTTCCTCTGAACCTCCAGCCTCCCACCTTCAGCTGCTGCATTCTGTAGTGCCCCGGGGACTAAGGTCCGATTGTAGATTTCTGGCCTTAACAACCCCCAGCAAAGTCAAGCTGCCTTTACAAACCGTAGTAAACATTTTATTTACAAATTTAAGGCGTCCTAAATGCCTTTGGGCTACGACCCCTGGGGTGAGTCAGAGAAACAGTTTAGTCAAACACTTCACAGTCGAACCAGCTTGCTTCCGGAGAGAAGTGTTTGGCTGGTTAGCAGGACACTGAGACTCCCCTCTGCTCTGGGCAGTGTCCGCTGCAGCCAGCCGGAGCAGCGTTGGCCGAAGCGTGAATGTCGGGAGGTAGGCTCCACGCTGCGTCTCCTGTCCTGCCAAGTCGCCAACATACAGTAAGCACAAAACCCAGGCCATGGCTGGGAGGCTGCACGCAAGGCCCGGATCCCCTCCGCCCTCGTACAGTCTATACGCCGCCAAGCGCGCCTTTGGGTGGCTCGGGGCTTTTGGGAGCGCTGCTGGCTGTGGGCTGTGGCACAGGGAGAAGCTCCGAGGCGCCGCCGCCGCCGAGGCTGCTGGCGCAACCCGCACTGGTGCTGCTGCTACTAAGACTGCTGGCGCTGCTGAAGCTGAAACTACTGCCGCCGCCGCCGCTGCTCCCACCACTCCCAGCACTGCTGGCGCTGATGAGAGCGCCAGTGACCGGGGCCTTAATAACTGTTGTTTGGTGCAGAGAACGCTCAGTCCCCTCAGTCCGCTCCGTGTCGCTGGGGGCCATGTCCAGTGACTCGGAGTCGCTGCTCTCGCTCTCAGCCTCGCCTTCGGAGCGGCTGGGGCTCCTCTCGTCCTGCTCGCCATCCGCAGCCGGGCCTCCACCTGATGGTTTCTCGCCAGCCTCCTTGTCCTTGTCTTTTTGGGCCTGGGCCTCCTTGGAGTGCCGCCACTTCATCCGCCGGTTCTGGAACCACACCTTCACCTGCGCCGCGCCACACGGGGAGACAAGAAGAGACACTGAAATGAGACCCAGGTTTGCTTCTATCCGACTCGCGTGCACCCGCAAGCCACCTCCCTGAGTGAGAAAGCAACGCTTACCTGGCGACTCTACCAAGGACCAGGCACTGTGGTAGGCGCAGGAGTCAAGGGGCAGCCAGGAATCCTGGTCTAGGGAGCCCACTAAGACCGTTTTCAAAATGCAACCCTCAGGTCCCGGATTAAAATGACCTGGGTGACTATTGGAAAGGCAGATTCGTGCACCCGACCCCCAACATACTCTCTCTCTACTCTAAATCCATGCATTTTTTTTTCTGGACCCCCATGAGAATCCGATTAAAGTTATGGACTCCCAGCCCAGAAAAATACACATGTACCCAAGATATTGCTTACAATGTCAAGGGTTTGGTGAGCCAGTGTTAAGAATTCCTGCTCTAAATTGGCCCTCTCCTCTACTGCCATTACCGAAAGCCAGTCCCTACAAAAGCAACACTTTTTTAAAAAAAGGAAACATGAGGAGCAGAAAGGGAAAAGGGGTTTTAAACTGTTAATCACAGTAGTGTGGGGGCACTGTTGGGCTTTCAGTAAGACAGCATTTCTTTGGTGTGTTTGTTCGCAAGAGCTGATAAGGACCCTGCCCTTGTTAAGGATAAACAAATTCTCCTGGGGGCTCAGAAAACACTGGAATTAAATGTGTGCAAAGTGAAGGAAGGGCATAGAGATGGGGCAGAGAATCTATATAGATATATACGATCCCCTGGGGGACCCAGTGCGTTCACACAAGTTCCAGCTTCCTTTTTAAAAATAACATCCACAGCTGGTGGAAAACGGCTGGGCTCCTCCAGTGTGTGTGTGTGTGTGTGTGTGTGTGTGTGTGTGTACTGGGGAGGAGAGTTGTGTAATGGAGGACAGAAAGAAACAGAGACAGCAGTTGGGGGACCAAGGAGCTAAGGAAAAGAAGCCTGCCTCTGGCTTCTGCCCTGCTGGGGACAATCAGCACCCCAGAGCTAGAGCCAGTGCTACGGGGTGCACAAGAGTGACTCTTCCACAGTCAAAACTCGGGGGGGGGGACGTCCAGTTCTTAAATATAAGAAAAAGTATTTAATTACGGCACAATACATTTCCTATTGTCTTGAAAAAAATCAGATAGGCAGAACCTGCTGAAATGCTCTTGGGTATTCCAAGAAAATCATTTTTCTTTCTTTCCCTCACCTCTCCCATTCCTTCAGATTTTCTTCAGAGCCTAAGCCTTGGAATATGTGGCCTCTCCAAGCGGACTCCTTGCCCTCCTGGAGCTAACTAATTCCGTTTGAAATTATATTTTCACTTCCTCACAACTGGGGATTTCACAATCCAGCAGAAGCAGGAGGAGGAGGAGGAAAGAGGGAGGGTGAGAGGGAAAAAAAACCAACAACAATCTCTTGCCTTTGGGTTTTTATCTTTTCTGAAATAAACTGCCTCCTACAGCGAATTGCACTACAGTTGAGTACATCAATGTTATTTCCAGCGGCTCTTTTGCTTTCTCTGTGGTTCTTTAGCCTGCTGGCCAAAATAAACATGCAGTGCTTGTTGACACACATCTTGGGGATGAGCTCTTCTCTCGGTCCTTCTCCCTCACCCCATCTCCACCCTCCTCTTCTCCTGCCTCAAGTTGCGTAGTCCACAAAGCCTCCCGAAAGTCAACATCTTGCGTTTCCACCGTAGGAGGCCAGTCGGCCGGGGTGGAGGGGGCCTATCGGACTAGGCCGTGCGCTGTTGCCCGCCCGAGGGCGCTGTGCGCTGGAGCCGGAACTGCCTTACCTGTGCGTCCGTGAGGCCCAGCATCGCCGCCAGCTGCTTTCGGTCCGGCTTGGTCACGTACTTCTGAATCTCAAACCTTTTCTCCAGGCCTTTCCTCTGCAGGTTGGAGAACACAGCGCGAGACCATGAGCGCTTCCTTTTGTACGTCTGCGGCATGGTGTCCTTCGTGAGCACAGCGTAGGGACCTGCCGCAGAGCGGGAGCCAGAGGGAAGAAAGACAAGAGGGCTGTTCAGTGCCCAGTACTTGGCCTGCCGGTGTGGGGGTCCCCGTTAGGCTTGAAACCGTTTCCTGTTAACTGTCGATTCCACCCTCATTCAGAAAGCCCTTCGCGCATACACCGAATGGCCCCTCTAAGGAAGAATTTTACACGACAGTCAGAAGACCTAAAGCTAGCGTGGAGTAGAGAAGCCTGGAGGCTTGTCCTTTAATTCCAAGGGAAAAACATAAACCTCATGCGTGGCCATCAGGCCTACGAAGAGTAGACAAAAATGTCCCTCGGGCCTGAATAATGACAGCCCCTAATCATCGTGTGTGTGTGTGTGTGTGTGTGTGTGTGTGTGTGTGTGTGTGTGTTATTCCCGCATGTGCCCAGGCACCCAGACGTAAGCTCGCCAAGCACAAGTGTTTGAGGTCATCCCAAAATGTGTGTATGTTAATAAGTAACATCGATGCTGCATTTTTCAAGCCTCTAGGGCGAAAGACTTTGAGAAAGCCCCCCACCCCACCGTCCACGCGCACACTTTCTGGGCTCTCCAGGCGCCCCTACCCCTTTTCAAGGGGAACCTTCCAAAGAGAGCGCTAGCTCGCTGATAAATCTTTCGGTTTCTCTCTCCTGACTCCGTAGCCTCCCGCCCCAACTGTGAGATTGCGACACCGCAGCCGCCCTGGAGGCGTCAGTCCTGAGATTTCTGACTGTCAGTCGGCTTGCCCGTTAGGCAGTACTCTGGAGTTTTTCGGTACCTGGAAACGTGTCTTGAAACTGATGCTGAACTGAATTTCTTGGGTTTGAGCTTAAGGGACTCAGGATGGCAGAAGCCTCGTTAATGGGATCTAGAGATGCGAAGAACTGGCCGGCGGAGGGCTGTAGGCCTGAGAGGTGCACCCCCGCGGGCCGCCCACCGGTTAGCAGGGACGTGAGATCTGGGGACAAGGGAAAAGGATAGCAGGTTACATCTCGGGCACACTCACACTCTCCGCTGATTTGTTCCTCCCCTTCCCGTTGCCCTGGATTCACTTTTATTGAGCGAAGTCACGAGAGAACTCGTCTCGGCGCTGAAACCTCTCTCTCCCAACAGTTGCCAAGGAGCGACGCACGAAAAGTTCCTGTGTGTCCCTCACGTCCACATGCACGCATATAGTAAGTAAAGGCTTTACATAAATCGGCTTACGGCCTTACTTTCACGTGCCTTCCAAGAATCCCACAAACCCAAAACCTCCGCCCCAAGGAGGCCCCATTCTGCCCGCTCATCTAGGCAGTTTTGTTTATTATTTACATTTCCTGGGTGAATTTTTTACCAGAAATCAGATACATGCGAAAGTGTTTCCCAAAAATGCTTTAGTTGTCAGAAAATACAATTCTGTCTCTAGATACGTTATTAAAGAGATCAAAGTCATTTTAGCAGATAATTACACCAACCATTTTTATAAATATTGTTTCTAAGACGTGTTTTTAAAGAATCCCTGGAATAATTTTTTTGTTTGTTTTACATAGAACAGGTGAATTTTATACCTAATGTTTTGTAGTTTTCTTACAATTTGTTTTCTTCTCTCCCATTTTACCGAGTTGTCCTTAATTGTAAAAACACTCAAAGGTACCCCAAGCCAGCCCGGGGTCCCGGGAGTGGGTCAGTGGTCAGAGGCCTGCAGCCTCCAGTCCAAGACCTACCTCTCAGCGTGTTGCCTTCTTTGACTTTTGGGTCAAATTCTGCAGATAAAATGCGGTCAATTCCAAATTTGAGGTCTTTGCTGGAGGGGGCCGGGGCCGAGCCACTGTGGTGGGGGTTCGGAACCACTCGCGTCCCAGAGGCTGGGGGCTGTAGGGCGCCAGCCCGAGGCGGAGGCGGAGGCTGTTGCTGCGGCGGCTGTTGCTGCTGCGGCTGTTGCTGTTGATGTTGTTGTTGCTGCGGGTGATGGTGGTGGTAGGCGGCTGAGAGAGGAGACAGCCGCTGCGGGAAGCCAGCCTGGACTTCGGAGGGCGCCACCACTGGGGTGGGTCGAAGCGGGGATCTGGCCGCCGCTTGGAAAGAGGCGTGCGGGTGAACCGAGCCCAAGTGCGCGGTGAGGGCGGCGGCCGAGGCCCCTGCCAGGCCCTCCGGGGCCGCCCCCAAGTCCCCCACGCCGGCATGCAGAATGTCTGCGATGCAGAAGGAGGGCTTCTTGACGGCGGCGGGGTCCAAGGGGAAGGAGCAGCCGCCTGGGCCGGTCGAGGAGCAGTAAGCGGCCGACCAGAGGCTGAAGTTGGAGGCATAGAAGGGAGCCAGCCCGGCTGCGAACATCCTGCCGGGGTGAGCCGCGCGGCTGCCGCAGTCCAGCCGGACCGGGTGGGTGGACGCGCGGGGAGCGGCACGCGAGTCCCGGAGAGGGCGGCCGCAGCCGAGGACGATCCGCTTTCGCTTCTCCGCCCGCACTGAAGAAGAGAGGCCGGGAGCCCTAGCGCCACCGAGGGAGGAGGCGAGGGCCGGATCTCGGCCGGTCACCGCCTCGCTCCCTGGCCTCGCTTTAAAGGCGGCGCGGCGCCCGCACTCCTCGCCGGCTGGAGGCGAATGAGGGGCGCTGGGGCCGCGGGGCGGGCAGGGGAGCCAGGGAGACGGGAGCCGGACACCGCAAGAAAACCCAAACAGCTAAGCCCTAAGAGCTAAATTTAAAACAACAACAATAATAATCCGTTAGTTAGGGGGAAAAAAAAGTAATAGGAAAAAAAAAATAAAAAAAAACTCGTCTCTAAAAACTCCCAAAGTTTTGGCAGGAGCTTTCGAGTCAGGCCCGGGGTAGGACCTCGATCCGAGCGCTCATTGGTCATCCTCATGACCAATGGGAGCGGGGAGTGGAGGGGAATTAGGAATGAGGAGGCGTGGCCGGGCCCGAGCCCCGCCCCAGCCACGCCAAAGTGTTTGCTGCGGCCGCGTGGGCTTAGTAACGCACATCGCAGTGAGTCTTGCTACTCTGCGTAGGGGCCAGGCAGCCGCTCCGGAGGGCTCTAACTGTCTTCTAACTTCTGCAGCTCCGAACTGCCACGGGGCAAGGAGGATTGGTCACAGGAGCTTTCCTGAAGCGCTTGTCACCCGGGGCGAGTTGGGGGAGTGGGGAAGGGACGGTTATCTCACTCTTTAGGGCTATATGCAAAGTCCGCCTCCCGGTGGAGAGCAGAGAGCGGTTTGGACCCTTTGCTTCCCTTCTCTTGACCTCATTCTGCTTTTATTCCAGGAGTCCGTGTCCTCGGCAAAGCCCCTCATCTTTCTTGGACCCTTGCCCAAATGTTGCCACCCTGAGTCCCAGCCCAACTCAGCACCACGTCCGCCCTGTGCCTCCCTGGAGATTCTCGGGGAAGCGAGAAGGAGGGGTGACCGCAAATTAGCTTTATTCTGAGCTGTCACACAGTGACAACTTGAACGAGTGACTTTTCAAACAAAATAAGACGGATGGCTCCAAACGTCTCCCTTAGACGCAGCCAAACCTTTCCCCGGAGCCTCAGAGGCTACAAAACAGGCTGCCTCCAGAAACCCGGGAGCGGCACGCGCGTCCCTCCTTTGCAGGAGGTTGTAGGAAATGTCAGCCTCCCTCCTCCACCACATGTCCGGATCACGTGGGGTTCGTTGTTTTGCAAGTGCCCACAAGAGCAGATTTCCGTGGGGTTCAATATTGCTTTCAATTCTGTGACAGATTCCCCAGGAACCCCTTGGGCCTGGTCGCAGGAGGAGCTGCAGTGGTGGTCAACGTCTTCCATTCGTGCCTTCGGTCTTTAGAACGCAGGGTGGTGGTAGTGGGGGTTTTGTGCAACATCAACATCTCTATTTTAAGAATTTGTTCTCTTTTAAATTATAGTCAGAATGGATTTCCCCACCCCTCTCCCAAACAAACCACAGGCCACCCAGATAAGCTGTTTTTGCACATTTTCAGGAAGAAAATAAAATAATACGAATAATGAAACCACGAAATATTTTGTTTTCGATTGCCCTAATAAGCATCTCCTAACAGAGATTCTGTGGCATTTTTATTTCCCTTCAGCACGAAGGCTCCTCACCAAATAAACTCAGAAAGGCAAGTGAACTTGCCATGCCTATCTCAAGTTCAGGGTTTGGACTTACAAAATTAATTTCTGGTGGCTTCTCTAGCCCCTTGATGCAAATGCTATCCTTTTAAGCTTTTGACTTTCTCCTGGAAAATTTCAATCACTTCCGATCAGCCAGCACTAAGATCTCTCCCTCTCCCTCTCTCCCCCTCCTCCCGCCCTCCAGCTCTCCCGCTCTCCGTCTCTCTTTTATTGCAAGGTTTTCTTCCCCTGCTCCACGCAGCCAGGAGAGAGGTGCTATTTCCAGAGACAGATGGGTGTGTTTGGCTGAGGGTAAGGATACCTGGGGCGACAGACGTAATAAGACCAGTCTTTCGGTGTCAAGCTGAAGGCAAAGGAGCGACAAGTACAACACGGGCAATTGAGGCGCTGGCTGAGGGTTCTGGTGAGCCTTCGGTGTGAGTGTGCGTAGCGGAGGCCGTGAGCCCTCTCCTTTCTAGTGCCACTTCCAGTTTAATTGTGATTCTAATTTGACTGCAAACATTTAGACCTCGGCCTAAGCCCAAACTCACGGTTGTGAAAGAGGTGCATTTACTCCTTACCGAGGCAGCGCCGCGCGCCCTCACCCTCTCTCTTAAGTAATAAGACTCCCCTATCCGCATTCATCCTTTCCAAGTTTTGCGACGCTCCGGGTTGGGCACGGGATGCAGACCCGGGGGAATGCGGGCCCTCGCGGGTTCCCTGAGGTGCCCACAACTCGCATCTGCTGAGATTCAAGGCCCGGAGCGCCGGGCAGATGTGGCAAAAGCGAGGCCCCGAGGCCCGCCGACTCCTTGCTGCGCCGCGAACCTCCCTTTCTCCGCCAGGCCAGTGGCTGGATTGCAAGTTGCAACTTCGCCCGCGCGCCCCTTGCTCTCCCAGGCCTCGGCTTCCTTGCAATCGCATCGGCGCCATCCAAGGCCTTACTCCCAGCTCCCGGAGGCAAACGCGAAAAGCAAGTCTTTGGAGCGACCCCCGCCGCCCCCTCTACCGCTTCCCCAGGCCAAAGCCTGGCCCCTGCAGGCCCCTCGCCGAGTTCTGAGCCCGCAGACTCCCGCCCTCCTTACTCCCCACTCTTCAGAACCAAGAAAGCAGCAGGAAACCCTGGGCTCGCCGGAGTTCAGGTCATCTCCTGTTTTTTGATGGGCTCAAACTCGGACTAAATGAGCGGATGTGCCTGTGAGATTGGTCTCAAAATAGAAGCGGCCTTAGTATTTTAGGATACTGCAGAAATCCTTATTTCTTCCGGAGAAAAACTCTATAATGACTCCTAGCACTTCCCCTTTCAATATTTGTGCAACTTTATCTCCACCGGCAAGTTGCTCGGGTGACGCAAATCCGCCCTTGTGTATTACAACTACCAAAATAAATGCACGGAAATCAATTCCCTTCTAGCAATGAAAATATAAATATACAGCTGCGACTTTCCCCTTTAATCTTTGCTTTCCGAGCGGCTCCGGGCTGTGGCGAAATGAACTGGCCCAAAGCTATTGAGCCGGGCAGGGAGGTCCTGAGGGCAGAGGCGAGGGCTCCCCAGGGCCTGGTAGCCATGGGGGTTGAGGATCTAACAGGAAAGAAAAGCGCCTGGCTAAACCGAATTAACTTGAGCTTGGTCTACGCAGCGGAGACCCTAACTGTGGCTTCATTTTTTGGGAAAATGTCGCATTGGCTGGGGTTTCTGATCATTCTGACTGTTGTCTTTAATGCTTTCAACTAATCACTTCACTTTTCCTAGTTAGACATAGCCAAAGACGATTTCACCATACTGGGAATGGATAAGATCAGAGAAGGTTCTTTTTATAATTTAACAGTATAGCTTATGGGTATTTAGGATTTAAAAGGGACCTGAATCAGGGGCTTATGCAATGACTGAGGCAAGAGATGGGTTTCACCATCCTTTGGTTCTCCCTGTCTTTGAAGCTTCCATATTTAAATTATCAGTGCAGATTTTTGTCCCCAAACCAGAGTCACAGATCCACACTGAGCATAGGTCAATTATAATGAATGCTGGGCCTTGTATATTACAGGACCATAACTCTGCAAGGGCTTGAACTGGCTATATCTGCTATCTCTTTTGCTTTTCTTGTACATTCTGAGCAAAATAATGTGCAAGGCAGATGCTCTGTGGACTTGGGAACCCCTCTCCTCTGAATTTCAAATATTCTTGCAAACATGGTACCTACTGGCTTCAAGAAAAGAGATGGAAATAATTAAATATTTACAATCAGAAAGAAAAAGAAACACAGCTTATCCAGCTACTTGAGAATTCAAGAAATTTACAGCAATGTAGGAATCTGTGTATACTGTGCCTGTCTTCCTGCCAGCTGGAGATTTATGGATCACTGGGCCCAGCAGTCATACTTAGTGGTGGATATGGGAGTTCTGTTCTTTGTGGGTGTCAGACACTAGAGATTAGGACCCTAATGACCCCCCACAGACATATCCCCTACCCACACACACATACTTTGGCCTATTCTAAGTGGGACACAACTCTCTTTTCTTGGAGATCTTAGAGTTATTCCAGAATTTCTGAGTTTTGAGAAAAGTTGGACTTTTCTATGGGGTGGGAAAAGCAAATAATGCAATAGAGCTACAAGCATCCATAGCTATTTGATTTATTCTTTTTCCTTTTCTCCATTTCCCAGATGTGGCAGATTTGCAGGTGGCCAGCTCTCTATTTGGCTGTGGCCCTGCCCTTGAACTTTAGCCATAGGTCTTGCTCTAAAGTTTCAGACAGCCTTTTGGCTCTGATTCCATTTGCCCTTTCCCCTCATAGGGCAATATCTCACATAGGAAATATGTGAGATATTTCCCTTCCCTCACTACTAAGATATACCACTTTACATATATGTACCTCTGTCTCTCTCTCTCTCTCTCTCTCACACACACACACACACACACACACACACATTCTCTGGGAATCTTAGAAACGGTGGGGGGTGGGGAAGGGAAGGCAGGCAGTTTGGGATTTGTTCCTGTTTCAAAGAGCGCTTCCCTGCCTCTCCAAGTCATCCTCTCTACATCCAGCCAAGAAAAACCCCGAATCTCATAAAAACCTACGGCAGAACCCATTTCAGCATGGCACATTATAACAGACTCATACACGTTTGCAATGAAATCATAAGAGTAAAATATGAGAGCCTATCTGTAGCATATATGAGCTTACATACTTATTTGCACAGGCTTCTGTTTAGTAGCTGTAAATGGTGCTCTCCCACTCCCAATACATTAGCCACTCATCTTGAATTTGTTGCCTGAATTATTGAATCCGAATGGCTGGTTGTTAAGGTAGGAGAAGGAAGAGTAGGTGAAAATCATATATCCAAAACAGGGAGGGATGAAAGGCGTTCCCAAAGCAGTATTTCTCTAAACAAACAAATAAACCTTCTTCCCTTTGAGACAGGTTTTCAAGTTAGAGCACAGGTTCTAAGGCCAGAAGACGGACTCAGGCCCAGACTAAAAAGCAGTCATGGGAAGGGATCTTCCGAAGGGAAAGAATCCTGGAGTCAATGAGAGGGATTTTGCAGATAAAGCCAAATGGTTGTTGTCCCCATCTCAGTGGTCCTAATCTGCCCACCAGCACCCACCATAACTGGGACAGCCCTGGATTTAATGACGGACTCCCCCTAGCCCTGTCCCAGCCCACTACACACAGGCATCTCCCTCCCTGGAGGAGCCCACCTAGTACTGAAAGTTGGTTCTCTGCTGACACCTGCTGGACCATCTCTACATTGTTTTCTGGCAGTAACCATCCTGTGCCAGCAACATTGTTATGATGAAAGTTGACTCTTCCTTTTGCAAAAATGCAGGTTTCTAAAATTGGCTTTGACTAGCAGCTGTTTCCTTCCATATTGCAACAATATGGGAAGATCTTGTACTATGTGTTTAAAATCACTAGACCGGGCGAGGGAAGCAGTCATGGTTCAGGAATAATACTGTGTACATTTTACAGATCTCAAGGTCAATTCACATTTATTGTCTCACTTCTTTAAAATAGCCAACTGTAGGATACCGACAAGGGATTATTATCCCATTTGACTTTAGGAAGTTGATCCTCAGAAAGGTTAAGTGGCTTGCCCAAGGTGACGTAGTTGGGAAATGGTGTTGGAGGGAACAGAGGCTAGGTTTTCTGGTTCATCAACCAGTACTATACCATTCAGCCAATTTCTTCAGGGAAAATGGTTTATTCAGAGGAAAAACTCTTTGCCCTCAATCAGAATGTGTATTGACTTCAAACAAAGAGCTGGAGAAAAGAAGTATGTCTAACCCAGACATACTACCCTACCCTGAAATTTCTTTCTCTCCTCAGCATTAAATGTGGAGACTTCCTGCCTCCCAGTATCATGCCACTCGTTAAATTCTAATTTGGGCGTCTACCCAAATGAGGTCCAAATTTGATTTGGGTAGATGCTCCAAATCAGAATTCAACGAGTAGCATGATACTGTGTCCAATTCACATCTGCAAATGAAAATAAATCCCTCAGTTGATAATTCAGTTTTGTCTTTGCATTAATAAAAGTAAATCATTTTGACTATTTAAAATATCCAACCAACTAGTTTGCCCAGGAAGGCATTTTTCTAAACCTTCTCACCCACCCTCCTTGCCCTCCATCATAACATCCTGGTCACCTTTTTCCATTGCAACTGGAAAGCAGTATATTTTGGTTGCCATCAAAGCCCTGGCTTCAAACTCTATGACTCTCTGAATGTGAGAATGTCTCTCAGCTTCCAATGCTTCATCTCTCTCTCTAGTATTACCCTCATCTCCCCACCCTACTCTTTTTCCCACAGCAGCCACGTGCAACGGAGATTTCTACAGGAAGCATGACATGTAAGGTGCTCAAGAGGCAGGAACTTAAGAAGCCTGTGAGCAGATTTT